GTTTGCATTGGAAATTGAGCAAGAAATTGATGGGAAGAATTATTAAACTGAATTAAAAAAATTACAACATAAAAGAACAGTATTTTTACTTTGCCGATGATAGCATTTATGAGAAAGTAAAATTACAAACCAAAAGGGACCTGTTGAAATCTCCATAATGTACTGTGAAGGGAAGAGAAAGGCTCAAGATTAAATTGTCTAAGGAAATACAGATGACTAGAAGCAGAGCTATGATTAAAAATCAGATTTCTGGTTTCAAATAAGCAGAACCCTGTAGCTGTAACCACTATCAAAAAAAAAAAAAAAAAAAACTAGAAGAAATTTAAAAAAATAAAAATCACTGTTCCTTTTCCCACCATTTACAGATTACACATTGATATATGGCCTTTTACCTATGTAGATTGTACTAGTGCCGTGAATATACACTGATAGCATCCTAAAATTAATGTAGAAAAAGTCACAGGTCCTGAATAAAAGGTGATGGGGAAGGGGTTTAAAATAAACTATTATAGGCACTCAGGGAGCTCTGGTAGCATAGTGCCTAAGGCACTTGACTGCTAACCAGAAGGCTGGCAGTTCAAACCCACCAGCCACTCCTCAGAAGGAAGGTTGGGCAATCTACTTCTGTAGTGATATCGCCTCAGCAACCCAAGGAGGCATCGCTATGAGTCAGGTCCGACTTGACAGCACATAACAACAACAACAACACAGGCACTCAAGGGCTTCTCAAACTAATAATAAAACATACACAATTTTTTGCAGTAACAAAAACATTTTTGAATTCCATATTATCCCCTGATCAGGGAAGAAAACAAATGGAAGACAATAAATAAGGAAAGGAAAATAAAGAAGGAAGAAGAGACTAGAATGCAACCTCAATGTACGACAAGACAAGGAGTAAAGAGTTAAGAGCATTGGCTCTGTAGCCCCTATCTCTCTAACTCTGTTTTCTTACTTGAAAAGGGGATATGATGATAGAACTGACTTCACAGAGTTTTGAGGTGGATTAAATTATCTGATGTATGTGAAGTTAGCACATCATAAGGGATCTGAAAGTGTAAGTTGCTTTTCTTGATATTTTTAATTATTGAGAAAATGCCTGCTCTCTTGATGTAAAATAACTCACATTTATTAAAAAATACCATCATTCTTATCTAAAATATTGATCTTAAGGCATTGTTAAAATCTTATTCTCTTTGTTCATATTTAGTGTTATTTGAGATACAAGTGCCAGAGATACAACATACAACTAAAGTAAGCAATGAAGGTTGTTTTTATTTTTGTTTTTCCTAATTAGGAAAGGTGAAGGCATTAGGAACAACTGGAATCATCCAGCATACCATTGGATTCTTTTTCTCTTACCCTTGCTTACCTCTACACATTTGATTTATTCTTTCCTCTACAGACAGGCTTTCTCCACATGGCAGGGAACATAGCCATCGTCAGAGTTGGACTCCTGTTATCCCAGCTCTCTGACAAGTGAGAAACTAGAGCGTCTTACAAGTTAGGCCAAGCTAACAAGCAAAGGTCCAAGTTAACAAACAACCCAGGGAAAGGTTCTATTTTGGGCTTATCTAGTTGATCATGTGCCCATATCTGATGCACTATGGCCAGAGAGGATGAAATAATATGATGGGAACCCCACTAGGAGCAACTGATTAGCCTGGAGAATGTAGTTACCAAAGAAAGGCAATCACTGTTGTCAAAAGAAGAAGGGGAAGTGGAATGATATCTAACATCAGAAGATGGTAGATAGAGCATAGGATTGAGGAAGGGAGAAAATGAGAAGAAAGAGTTAGAACTGTTTATTTTGTAAAGGAAGGATTTATTTGTTCAGGAGAACATGTCACATACATGGGCATAGACATTCCCTCTGGAGTCACTGGGCTTTTAGCACTGGAGGATTTTAAAGGTGCTACTACCATGGGCACATATTGAGTTAGGAATTGACTTTGTGCCCAGTCTCCAGGCTCTGACCTTCCACTCTAAATTTCATTCTGTGCTTTGGATATTGGTGCCATAAACTGCAACCGTTAAAATTGAAGAATCATATTTCATTATGTGTAACAACTTCATCTAAAACTGGAAAGTATCCATTTGTCTATGCTGTGCATTTTCCTTTTTGTTGTGTTTCTGTTGTTCACCCTTTTCCTGAAGAATGTAATATCTTAGACTTCTCTGTCTTATAAATCTCATTTTAAATGTGTTGCATCAAGGAAATCTGCCAACTACTTTGTTTTCTCTACTTTTCACTCTGTGTCAGACTGCTTTGGCAAAGGAGAATAATATTACCTTACCATGTAAAACATGGTTAATGACTTTTAAAGAATTCCCCAGCACTGAATGATGAGCTGCCAAAAATATTTTTGGTGCCAAAGGATCTGGATATGTCTGTTCCATTTATTGTTTGTTTCTTGTTTCATCATGACTAAGTGCTCACATAAGGCATAAAACCCCAAACCACAAGGGCATTTGGTGTTTGAGAGCAGAAACCATACTTTAATGTATCTAATCCCCTCACTAGTGTAAGAAGATGGTTAGTTTAGCATCAGCAATGAACAATGATGAATGTCTACAGTATATACAAGATGCTCAGATTATTAATGAAGTTGATTTCCAGTTAATCTAAGGAGGTTGTTTCCCATTGTCTCTATTGTGTTTTAAAGAGTGCTGGAAGTCTTGCACTGAGAATTTTGTAACTTGCTCTGCCTGTTTTAATAAGTTTGCATTTCTCAGAAATAAGAAGATGGAGTCCATTTCTTAATTAAAGATTTGTCTCTGAGAAGCTTGATAGTGCAGTATAAAAAAATCATTTATTATTATATTAAATTAGTAATAATTGAGTTATTAAAATTTGTTTCTTAAAATTGGAAAAAACATCAACTTAGGAATATGTGGAGAAGATCTAGGAAACACAAAGAAATGGAAATTAAAGATGCAAGATGCTTTTTTTCCTCACTGGAAGCAAGTGAAATCAAGAAGAGTAGCAACTGAACTCTCTTAGTGCTAGCCCCTCTCCAGCTTTCCCCTGAGTGTAAAATTCTGGACCCTTCCCATTTGGTCTGCACTCAAGCTGTCTCTCTTTCCCTTTAGCAGGGGGCTCTCCTTTCCCACTCTGTCCCTGAACACCAAGGGCTTCAGTCTGACTGAGACCCAGTATCTTCTTTGCTAGTGACCTAATTGTTAGGATTTCATGGACAGGACAATTGTCTTCAAAACATTCCTGAGTTATGGATTCTTAACTCTTGTGGATGACCACAGGACAGATGACATTCGTATGGGATCTGCTCTTATGGGCCTGGAGCCAGGAAAGATCCCTGGACTGGTTAGCTAAAACCCCATGTCTTGTTTTCCTACTCAGCAAATCATGTTGGAATTCCATTAGATAAAAGCAATTTCATCAGAGAAGATGAACTTAAATCTACTTTAAATTTTTTTGTGTGTATGTGTATGCATTATTCATAAAAAAAGAACTAGTCCCTGGAGGTGGCCAGGGAAAGTTCCCTGGACCTCTTATCCCTGTATAGTCTCTTGACTCTCCAAAAAGTCTGGTTAATAAATAGAATATCCTGAATACTACCTAAAGATAAAGTAGTTCTCAAGAAAGAAACTCAAGTACCATTCTAATTTATTGTGACTTTAGGAAAAGAATCAGGATAGCATTTTAGCTGCTTCTGGAGACCCAATGTTGCATCCACCATATACTACTTGCAGAATTAAACTATCCACTATATTAGGAGCTCTGGTAGCATAGTGGCTAAGGCACTTGACTGCTAACCAGAAGGCTGGCGGTTCAAACCCACCAGCCACTCCTCAGAAGGAAGGTTGGGCAATCCTACTTCCGTAGTGACACTGCCTCGGAAACCCAAAGAGGGGTCGCTATGAGTTGGAGCCGACTCGACGGCACATAACAACAACAACAACAACTATAATCATCAATGAATGAACAACACAAGTTATGAATTTAGGACTGAGATATTGGCTTGCAGTAGTTGCTGAAATAGAAACATTTTTGCCACTGACTGAATATCAGGAAAATGCAAAACTATGAGCTACAACAAACCCTTAGTTGCCATAGAATCAATTCCAACTCATAGCGACCCCATGAGTGCAGAGTAGAATTGCAGTCCATAGAGTTTTCAAGTCAGTGACCTTTGAGATCACCAGGCCTGTCTTCCAGTCACTAGACTTTTATCCAGTTGGTTTGAACCACCAACCTGTTGGTGCTTAGCTATTTGCACTACCCAGGGACTCCACAGCACAAACCCTTCACTTTTATAAACACAAAGTTTTTATTGAAATGCCATTTGACAAAAATTATGACTTTTCTTTATATCAAGTACTTACAAAGTATTACACATCACTAATGTAGGGGAGAATATTATGTATCAATAATGGAAAACTGCTAGAAAATAATATTATACTAAGCTATTCTTCGTATATGGATTTCAAAATACTGCTCTATCAGATCACTTGAAATATAGCATTTTTGCATTCAGGGGATTTCTGATTAAAACTGTTTACCTTAAAAAAAAATAAAAAAGGAAATGTTACTTCTGTCCTTCAACATTTGTGTGTAAAGACATTGTGTCTAGTACGTTGTAACATCTGAATATCTTCGACCTTTTACTATGTTACACAGATAAATTTTGAATTTTAGAGAGTGCAACTTAAAATGTGCTGTTTCATTATTTTGACAGGAGATTTTTTTTTTCTCAGCATTATGCATATGGGATTTAGTGGCTGCCCCTTTACCAAAGTACAGTATGGGTATCTTTGCCACATTGCAGGGTATACTCTCTCACATCCTGTGTGAAATGTTTTCTAAAAAAAGCCATTGGGGGCTGGAGGTGAGTAGGATGGATTTAAAAGAAAACCAAGTCATCTCACTTAAATATAAACTCGGATACCTAGTACAGATGTGAAAAGACAGAATGAAATTACCTGAATTCTTGACATATACTAATTATGTTTCTTCCTTCTTCTTCCTTCTCTTACAGGCTCAACATGGGAAAAGACATTTCGGCAGATTGGCTTTGAAAGGTAAATGCTATTTAGTATGTCTCCGTGTTTTACTACTAAATGGGCAATTTTATTCTGAGAAATTAGTAATGGTGCTTTGTAAATCAGTAGTCTTGCCACCACTTCATCAGTGGCTATATGACCTTAAGTGAGTCATTTGGTCCCACAGAGTCTCAGTTTCTATGTAAAATAGAGCTAGTTGCCTACACACAGAGTGGAAATGAAGATTAAGTGGGACAATTTATGTGAAAATGCCTTTTTAAACTGAAAAGCAATATAAAAGGTAAGTTGTATATTTTAGAGAATTACAAGAAATGGCCAGAGCTGTTTATAACTAGCATTAACTCTCCCCTATCTTCATTTCCTTCATATACCATATTCAGTTCTATGACTTTAATCTAGGGAAATTTATAGTTATATTGCTATCTCCTCAGTTACTAAAACCCTTAGATCTTATTAGCTATAAGTAAAAAACTGAGATCATGTATGGTGGTTACATTTGTGTGTCAACTTGGCTGGGCCTGGTTGAGTGGCTGGGCAGCTAGATGTAGTATTCCCCATGATGAGACTGGTAATCAACTCCATGGTGGAATCTACTGGGAGCAGCTGAGTAGCTGCCTTAGGGAATGTGGTCACTTTCCTGTATATAAGCAGAAGCCTTGCAGAATGGTCTCTAGTTTATGGCATGCTTGGACCCTGCATGTAGCTGTGCCATTCTTCAGCAGCCTGCCATGCTCTGCTCACCTTGGGACTTTCAATGGACTTGAATTAATGGCCTGCCATGTGGTTTGGTAACATCATATAATTTGGTAACATTGGGACTGTGCCATTTTATTTGTCGACCTCAGCAGTCAGTAGCTGCCTGAGTAAAGAGATGCCTCTAGCTTCAGTGAGCTGGGAGCAAGAGGCAGAACTGAAGCTCAAGGTCGAGGGTCTTTCACACAGCCTATAGCGCCTTGGAACTCAGACTTCTAGCCTCCCGAACTGTAAGAGAATAAACTTCTGTTTGTTAAAGCCATCCCATTTGTGGTATATTCCTGTCAGAGTGGCACCAGGTAAACAGAACATCATGTCACTCTTAACTAAAAATATTTCTACATAAGCAAATTCTGAGACAGGAAAAAAAAAAAAAAAAAGATTGGCTCAATATAATGTCAAAAATGTGGAGCCATGGTCAACAAAGTCATTAAACAACTTGTCCTTGCAGTCTAAGGACAAATATTTCACAGATCTCTCCCAACAGCATTTAGGGCCTTATATTGAACATTCAAGAAAAGATAGAATTATTGAAAGAGAGAAATTAATTTTAAACTTTCATTTTACTTAAAATGTAGATTTTTCATCATATGGAAAATGTGTTTCATTGGTATTAATCAAGCTGACACAGTGCTTAGAGATATGAAAGAAATAATAAAATATTTTAAAAGTGCATTTGTGCCCAGTAGCAATAGAAAATACTTCTGTCACCAGGCCAAGTGTCATAGCACTTCTTTTATCATTTTTAATTGATTCAAATATGTATTATCTACATACAATTCCACTCATATTAGTATAATCACTTTTAACCTCACAGTTAGTTCTCACAGATAGATAGACAGTTGCCATCAAGTCAACTCCAACTCATGGAAACCTAATGTACAACAGAAGGAAACATTACTCAGTCCTTCATCATCCTCATAATTGCCATATGGTCAAGTCCACTGTTGTGGCTCTTATACCAGTTCATCTCATCAAGGGTCTCCCTCACCTTTGCTGGCTCTACTTCACTAAACATGATGTCTTACTCCAGCAATTGATCACTTCTTTTGACATGTCCAAAGCAAGCAAGTTGGGCAATGTTCTGTTGTCATCTATAATGTTTTCTGTGGCTTATTTCTGAAAGTAGATTACCAGGCCTTTCTGCCTGGTCTGTATTCGTCTGGAGCTTTGCTGAAGCCTGTACACCATGGGTGACTGTGCTGGTATTTGAAATACCTGTGGCACAGCTTCCAGCATTACAGCATCATACAGTCAGTCCACCAAATGGACAAAAGAGGGATGGAAGTTCTCATAGTTAGTTCCAAGCTTGGTAATGTTGGATTGTGAGGGTCAATTCCCACAGCCAACTTAAATCAAAGAATGGAAAATCATATGCAGATTCATTTTCAATGTGAAATTTGTTCCAAAATAGCTTTCTCTTGATATGTCTTTCTATTATAAAAAATTGACAGAATAGCAATATGAATGCCATATATCCATCACTCACCTTCAACAAGATATTGTCACACTTGTTTCATCTGTTTTTCATCTTTTCTTTTGTGAAATGTTTTAATGAAAATATAAGACATCATATTATTTTGTCCCTACATAGGTATTTTATTTTAGAGTCTGCAGCTCTAAAATAAAAGTGGGGATCATTTTCTTCCATACTAAATGTCATTATCTTGCCTAGCACAAATAACAGTAAGTCCTTAGTACATTTAATACTCACAAATTAAATTTAAATTTCCCAATTGTATAAAAAACATGTCATTTTACTCTTTAAACCTAAACCAAAAATATCCCCTGAAGTCTTATTGAAACTAAATAATTGTTCAGCTTAACTAGTAAAATAAAAAGATCTGCCTTAAGCATTATGCTCTTCTAAGAATGATATTTATGGGATTGAATTGACAACAGGAACTGAAATGATTAGACTGGAACTTAAGGTAACAGTGAGTTACTGAGTAACATATTTAAGTAACAACCCAAAAAAGGAGGATGAAAATGGTTGCACAACTTGAAGAATGAAATTAGTGTCATTAAATTGCTCACATAGGGTCTGTTGAATTGGTGTGTTTTGCTGTTCTTAACAAAAATAAAATTTATAAAAACAACAA